AACTCAGCTAGGAAAGTGGCACCACTGAGTTTCATACCAACTTCTGATACAATAGGTCAAAGTTTTCAAACGTCAAAAAGTTCACGTTTTTTACACATGAGTATTCTCCTTCCTCTCTACCTCTGAGTGTGAGCTAATTTATTAATTACCTTAAAGGAAGCTTCCTGCCACTCTTMCAAACCTATGTGGAAGCACAACTGACAATGGCATTAATCAGTCCAGCTYGCAGCTGGCATTACAGGTGATCCCCTGCTTCTTGCTGCTTTCACCTCCCTTTTCTGCCAACAATTAACTAGGGATTCCACACAAACACATGTTGTTTATCTTCTTCTTCAAATATTGATTATAGGAATTTCCTCTTTTATGACTTCCTTGATATGGATAATCTTAGACTGGAGTGCTTGGAAAGTGCCGGGTCACAAGATTGTTSTACAATGGAGATAAATAGAAAACTTAACTCTAGAGCGAGGTATAATTACAGGAATGTGGGGYTTTCTAAAGTGCTGGAATGACCAAATCCTTAGAGCTGGGCTTACAGAAGCACCATAGTGCAGGGTGCTGTAGTTATACTGTCGTGTGGTCACAAGCCCAGTGTAATCACTGAGGTGCCTCCTATAATGCCCAAGAAGCCAAATGCCGAAGAAATAGGTCCACAGAAGTGAGTCTGTGGAGCCATCCAAGTTGGCCAGCAGGCAGTGTGAAGGAGAAGAGAGATTTTTTTGACCTCTCATAGCAGGAAGAGTTATTTCAGTGCTGCATGTGGCACAGTTTGCAGGCACAAGACTTCTCTTTGGATTCCATACAGAAGATTTTCCTTTACTCCTTCATGTGAGAGTGCTGCTTCTCCTTTCAGACCCAGCTTGGGGTTGAGTTTAAATTCTTCCCTTGCCTAGGGGAGTTTAGTCTCTCCAGGCAGCTCCTTAACCTCAGTAACTTACATTGGGGTGTGCAGAGGCTGTTCCCTACTTCGTGGGGACCATGAGCAGGAATGGGAGCTAGTGAMAATGGAACGTCCTGGGGAGAGGGTGCCCTGGATTTAGTCCATGCTTGGACTAATGCTTCACCCTCCTATGTGATCCAGTAGCTGGTCTGTCTACTTCAGACTTTCATTGATCAGCTGTAACTGAATTAGCTTCCTGGCTCTGCAGGTAAATCTCRCTGCCCATCATCCACACAGTAAGTGGTCTCCCAAGTATAATACAGCATGGACATGATTTGGGTTATCTATCCCAATATACAAGCTTCATGAATTATCTGTACCTTATGTCTCTGACTGTCTCTTTTACCACTGAAGGTGTCATGTGGTGCCAGCATATCTATCTGGCTGGTCATTGAAGGTGCTGGTCCATGAGGTTTCTGCTCTAGAAGAGACCTTCCTCTTCCCAACAGTGTGCACAGAGCTAGATCTTTGTGAGTGGAGAATAGCTGCTGACTGGGCTGGCAAGCTGAGATGTTGGTGCAGAATTGCAAAAAACACAGTGGAGAGGAGTGGGAGAAGGCACAGTGTGTAGCTGGTGGGGAGTAGAATGGGACCAGCAAGATATTCCCCCCACCTTCAGAAGCTAGGGCCCCAAACTTTGGAAAGGGAAGAGCAAGAGGAGGGCACAATTTCCAGTAGAGCAGCTTTTCTAAACCCATGCATGAGAGGAAAGAAATTGCAGAAGGAGGATTTCTGCATGTGGGTTTGTTTGTTTGTTCGGGTCTAAGCTGTGTGCCCCTGAAGGAGGATCCCTCACTCTCTGGACACCTGTGCAAAGCCAGTCTGTTGAAATGAYTCCTGCAGATGTGAAGTAGGGTACTTCCTATGCAGGATACGTCCAAGGCCTTAACTCTGCAAAAAAAGATGCAGAGGACTGAAGAACCAGTGCGATGTTTTGCTTTAGTTGATGTTTGTAACGTCACCTCAGCRTCTGTGAAGCGGTGACACTTGCCTGCGTGCAAGTAGTCACAGCAGAGCAGAGTGCAGGGCAAGTGCCTCAGTCAAGGGAAACTGGAGGAGACCAAAGTGGTTTGTAGGGAGAGTGCAGCACAGAGCACCGAGACGGGGGAGCTCAACCTGGGCAGGAGAAACACCTCCAGCCACCACCAGAATCAGTAAAAATGATTGCTGTCACCCACGAATACATCCAATTTTTTTCTTCTCCCTCATGGTAAAGGCCCTTTGTGTAACTCTTTAATTTAAACCAGTGAAATTGGAGCAACATAAAATTAATTTCTCTTGGTCCTGTTCTGTAAGCATCAATTATAATGTCTAATCTACATGAAGTGCTGCTAAGTTTAGTAACCAGCTCTTTATTATGCATCACCCAAAAGCATTCAAATATCTTCGCATTAGGATGTAAGATCATACAAATGTTAATTGTAGACTCATCCAAATGTTAACAGTTGTTTTTCCTTTTTTYCCCCTCTCTCCTGAGGGTATAAACAGATATTTGATTAGGTTATCATGTTCCCCCAAAATATCTTTTTAAAGAGAAATTTCTCAATTTTTACTTTGCCTGACAGTGGGCAAAAATAATGCACTGTCAAGATGTAGAGACAGAGTCAAGAGGACTAGACTTTATTTGTGGCAGTGACACCAGAAATCTAGATTTGATGCTTGCTGAAATAATTTCTCTGGTGGAGAAAGGAGGGAAGTATTGTGGAGAACATGTAAATCATTTATGCTCTCAATTAAAAATTTATTCAACACCTATGGTTTCAGACYGAGATGTGGTTGGAAAAAGAAAGAAACAGAAACTCTGTTACTGTCTCCTTCAAGGCCGCATATCCTGTCATTTAAAGGAATTTTYGTTTTTGTTCTATATTTCACATCTTTTTAGAATAAAATACTTTATTTTTTTACTTTCTTATTTTGTTTCGGCACCCCAGTGTTTTCTTTATGTAATAATCTGATATAAGGATAAGCGGTGCTTACACCATCTTTTCATAATCTCTTCCAGTCTTTTAGCATGTCTTTCCCATCCTCTCATTATCATTTCTCCTGTGTCCTGTTAGTTCTTGGCTTTTGCTGCTTTTTTCCTCTGCTCTGGCCTGTCTCTCCTCTCCTAACTCCCTTGTTAGCTGCCCCGTCAATCTACTCATTCAGTCATGTTCAATTCTCCCTTCTCTCTTTTCTCATTCAGGTGCCTTCAATGCACCACTCGGAAAAGAAAAACCTTCCACAACAAAACCCCACAGGCTGGAAAAAATAGCAGAGGGCTTGAATTGAGGCAAGAGACTGTTTTAGGTAGGGAGTGCACACAAGCAAAATGCTAAGCCTGCTTCTCCRAGTGTTGCTGGGCGGAAAACATGAAAACTGCCTGGATCTATAATCACACAGGGTTGGATGAATTCTTATTTTTTCTAGCTGTTGCAAGGAGGAGTTGCCCCTCACATCATTAGTTCTGATATTATTTCCCCAGCTTTCGGGCTGGGGAAAGAAAATAGAGCACGTGTGGCTTTCCCCAACAGGGTGCAAGGGAGCTGGGTGCTGTGGCTCCCTGCAGCTGGAATGAACATGGACCAAGTTCCACTGTGACAACTTGTGTTGTGTGTGTTTTCTTAATGAACGGTGCTGAAGATCATATTTAACGTATTAAAAACATGAAATGAAAATTGGAGCAACATTGGAGCAACCTTATGCTTCTSCTTAAGGTAACTTAGAAATGTAAGATGTCCCGTGTGGAACATTAGAGTTGTCTTCTATTTCTAAAAATGTCACTACTGTCTGTTTAATTGTCYGCATTCTTTTTGTGCCTGTGTGATTTAATTTACCAACTGTTTTTTAACAGAAGTACTCAACATCTATAGATATGTATCAGGAAAGCAATTGCATATTGTATTGCTGACATAAACTTATGTCAGCAAGGATAAAGGAATAAAAAAAGGTGTGAACACCACATGAAAACCTTTTCACTTATTTAAAGCAGGTTTAATTTTGTGCAATGCTTGAACTGACACATACTGCAATACATAATGTACTGTACTCCCAGACTGGGTTCRCAGCATATTCCCATGGATGTTTTTAGGAGCTGTCTTGTGTCTGTAACTTAAAATATATATATATATTCAAGTTTGCCTAGTCAAAGCCTGGATCTGCAGAAAACATTCAGAAATGTTGCATCTGGAGGGAAATACTTAAAAAGTGTTGTGGCAAATAATGAAAAGAGCCTAGAAGTGACTTTAATTTTTTTTAAATGTCACCTGCATGTGAATGGAATAAGTATGTAACTCCAAATAGGTTAGGAATTATCGCTGTGTTATGCTATATTGGATTTCACGGGGAGCAGTGTCAGTGCGGAGTCTCTGAATTTATTATGCATCTGCACCACAGCGGAATACGCTCTAATCTTTAGGAACCCAAGGATTACTYGGCATTTTAAACAAACTAGTCTTTGTCCACACTAACTGTGCCTTGCAATCCTGTTGGATAAAATGATGCGCCCGTTCCTGTAATCCCTGCAGCCTGGTGTGCCCGCTTGCCGAGTCTGCGGGAGCCGTGGAGCCGTCTCTGTGGTCGTTCTCCAGCTCCTCTCCATTCCTTGGCTGCTGCAGCTCCAGGGACAGCTGGTGCTCGCGCTCTGCGGGAGTGCAGCGTGCCCAGCACTTCTCACAACCAATTCTCTCTCTCTCTCTCTCTCTCTCTCTCTAAGTCTTCGTGAAGTTTTGGCCAATGATACCTAAACAGGGGATGTCTGGTCAGGCTGCTGCTGTTTGCCTTCATACCCTCAAGTCTAGAACCTATTCCTAGCTTTCAACTCGGCAGGCAGGAAAAAAACGATGTCACAATGAAATACTGCTATTAAGAGCATTAGCAAGGAGTAACAGGTCGGAAYGGTGTGGCCACTACCTCCCACCATCACAAGCCTCTGTTGTCGTTCAGAAAGCATTTACCTTTCCTAGTGCTGAATTGTTGCTGCCAGGCTGGTGCTTTAAGCCATTAGTTAAAACTAATGTTTTAACTTAAAAGCTTAACATATTTCACGCTTATGCTACTGAAATGGCTGAGCAGCAAACAAACAAATGAGCAAAAGAAGTCTCCAAAGCTTTCCAGATGGCTAGTTCTCACTGATGTACTTTTTTTATTTCTTTTCCTCTGGAGCTTCAAAACATGTTTAAATTATGAAATTTTGTGTGATTACAGGAACTTGGCAAAACACTCATTAAGGTTTTAGTCTGTGGAGTGGTACTATAGAGAACTGAGGATGAACAGTCACTGAGTTGTACAACTGCCCTGTTGCACATGCAACGTTGCTGCCTTGGATTGTAGGGTAGGAGCAGTGGGTTGCAGGGTCAGACTTGCTCATGTGCTGCACTCTTGCTGCTCTTTTGGGCCAAATTTATCCTTGGCAGAATTGTCGAAACTGGTAAGATTGCAACAGTAGTTAATTTGTCTTCCTTTCCTTAAGATCAGTTGCTGAGCATCTCCTGCGCTTTGTCTCCAGTTTCTCCTTAGGCCGGGTGACATGATACCAGCCTCCTGCACTCTGGTGGGTGGTCTGGAGGGGGTGATGGCAGTGGTAATAGAGAGCGGAAAGTGAGGAAAAGAGGAGGTGAAAATGATGAAAAAAGGGAAATAGGGGAAAGAGGAAAACCCAAATCAGCCTTGGAACAAGCTGGCGAGCCGGACTATGTCTTGTGCTTCAAATGCAGGTGAAATACACCCCCCAGGGGATACAGTGTACAGAAATATGCTCTGGGAGCAGATTTGTACAGGAGGGAGGACATTGCTGCCTTCATTTGTGCCTCAGCTCTGCCTGTCTATGATGGCAGCAGCCTCTCTGCAGCCCCTTCAACTCCATCTCACCGTGGGCTCTTTAGCAACAGGAGCTAAAATGCTGTTACACAGTCTGAAGAGAAAGCCACGTTCTTCCTACTGCACGACTGGCCAAGGCTGCTTGTAAGGATGTGGCATTTTGCTGTGCTGATATGTCTTGTTCTCCAAGTGATGTTTGAAGGACCTGGTATCTTTACCAGCCTGATGGTAGCAAGTGCTCCCCACTCCTCAGTGAGGGATAGGTCTGCTACTAATGCCTCAAAATACAGTGTTAAGGGCAATACTAGTGCAGGCAAGAGACAAAGTTTAAAAATAAATAAAAGCTGGTGGACTTCTAGGAAAAAAAAAGTGGAGTTGGCAAGAACTCTGCACCATTGTGTGATGCTGCAAAGAGCCAACACCTGCTCAACACCAGATACGAGGCAAATTGGCCTGAATTACTCAGCTGTAGCTTAGTTCTTCAAGACAAGGATGCAGCTACTGTTCAGTCTAAAGCAAGACAGGGGTGGGAATAACTATGCAGTTCCCTCGTGCAAGCCCAGTGCATGCAGAACACCTAATGACTTTCTGTTCTGCACTAATGTCAACAACAAGGTCCCTTGCAATGGACCTCCTGCAAACCCAGCATCCCTGGTCACTAGGGAACAGTACTGCTTTTGGAGCTGCACTGTGGTGGCATTCTTGCTCTCTCTACCTGTTTGAGTAACGTACCCTGCAATAAGGACATACCCAAGTATTCCACACTTGTCCAGGATCAGAAAAGTGTGGCTTGCTGACTGATCCTCAGCTTTACTGCAGTTTTACCTCAGAACAGACAGTTCCTCTGGGGTCCAACCAGATGCTGTCTTAGGCATTTGTGGACTCCTGCCATATATCACTGCCAGTATATGAATTAAAAAGCAAATGCTGCAAATAAGGTGAAGACATAAATAACAGCATAGCAAGGGGAGATGTGCTTAAGCCTGAGCAGTGGGCTCTTTTCTAATAACTCTCTGTCCATCAAGGCACTGACATATGTAATAACCTGCAGATGGCTCAGCAGTGGGTGGCATTAATATACTTGGGTTTCTCTGGCATACAGGTGCTCTGCACTGTCCTTGCTTTGCCAGCAGACAGCCTTACACACTGCTGCTGTCAGCTGCAGTGAGCAACACGCACTCGCTGTCATGCACAACACGTTCACTCGTGGTGGGCTCACGTGTCCTCCCAGGCTGGGGAGGAAAAGCAGACAAGTAGGCTTGATGTCCTTCACTTTTTGCAGGGATATGRGCGGAAAAAAAATGTGTCAAGCAGCTGAAGAATCAGAATACCAAGGCTAGTCAGGCAGTCTGCAGATGTGGGKTTTTTTGCACCCAGAATCATGGTCTGACTACACACACCTTCACCTTCAAGGGACCTCTTTGATGTTTGTGCAGTATGGAAAGCTACTGGCTCTACCACATGCACTGAACTTGTACTGTACGTTTACATATAAATACTCAGATGGCATCTAAATGCTTATTTCTCTTTAGTAAGAGCAATGACACCACGCAATGCTTTCTCAGTGAAATTTTGAGTAGAAGAAAATAATCTGAGTCCTGGAAAGTGAAGAACAGGAAGGTATGTCAGAAGGAGGGGTATGCTGGATAATATTAAGAAAGTTTCATTTCCTAGGCATTTTTGAGAGATGGAGAGAGAGAAAAGATGAAATATTTATGATGTGAATATTATTATGGTGTGTGTAATGATGAAAATTTTCAAAATTACATATTGAAAACTCTTCAGTCTTCACTGTATCCATTGATGGCCTACTGCCAGAAGGGAGGGGAAAAAAAGAAAAAAAAAAGGAAAGAAAAGAAACATCTCTTAATTTTTGACTGAAATGGATCCATAGAGAGTTTCTATCCATTATTATAACTAAAGCATGAATATTGTGATATTAGGGTGTTGAATGTTGAACAATACCTAGCCAGACTGAAAACAAAAGACAGTCAACCCAAACTGGAAGATACATGAGTCAGACCTGTTTGTCCACTTTTTAGGCTTGAACACTTTCTTGGGAGGGAACAGTCATAAATTGAAAAGATCCTTGCATTTTTGCATCAATAATTAAAGCAGATAATTTCTGAGAGGGCACGGGTTTCTTGTAGTTGATTACTGTGTGATCCTTCATGACTTCCAATGCACAGTTTTTATGCAATGTGCTTGTCTTGCTACAGAGCATTGAGAATATTGTATATTATTGTTTAAGGAATGGATGTGTGGACATTATAATGCTTGCGGCCATAATAATGGCCATAATAATAATAATAATAATATAATGCTTCTCTAGGTCATGCTAGCCTTGAGAAGGTAGCTTCAAGAGCTCAGTATGCCATCTTAGTTTTGTTAGTGGTGCTAAGGGGATGGACTTTAGAGATATTGGAGGTGGA